TTGTGGAATTCCCCACATATGTATCAAGGCTTTGTTGGTATCCCTTAAAACTCCAATGGCAGCTACTGAACACTAATTCCTGAATGTCTGTTTCATGCTGGGGTGGTTGTGAGGGGTAAAGTGAGGAGCGTGTGAGTAAAACATTCCTTAAATCACCTTTTTTTCCCTTGCACTGTGGTGGGTTTGTTACTTCCTGAAAATAACACTGAAGGGGAGAAGTGCAGCAGATCTCCAGCATTCAAACTTCCTGGATTGCAGGTCTGGATGCTGCAGGGCTGGGGGGCAGGCACTGGCCAAAGCACAGATGGGGAGCTTTGGGAGGACCTGGATGGAGGGATGGGCCTGTGCTCGTGCCAGTGCAGTTGTGGCCTTTGTCACCTTGTGGGGAATGTGGTGGCAGCCCCGGGAGCAGCTGCTGGGAGCTGGGGCAGGGCCTGGCACTGATCCAGGGCAGGGCAGTGCTTCCCTTGGGGGGCTTGGCCCCCCACGCTGAGCTCAGGCAGGATCAGGGTCACAGATGCTGCATTTTGTGCCCCTGAGAGTTTCTGTCCCCCCTGGGGATTTCCTGCCGGGATGGGGCAGCGCAGGAGCAGAATTGAACCTGCAGCTCCCGTGGCCATTGCTGGCCTTGGTCTCTCTGCTGTGCCCTCAGACCGTGGCAATTTGCTGCTGCCACTGCCACTGCCACCCCCTGGGGGCTGTGTCCTCCTGGCAGCCCTTCCCAGCCCCAACAGGAGCTCCAGTGCTGCCTCTGTGCCTGTGGGCAGTGTTTGCTGGCAATGTGCCTCACCCCTGGCGGGATCCTTTTGTTCCAGAGCAGGCAGACTCCAGAGCTTCTGGGCTTCTCAGCTGCAGGGCTGGATTGCAGAAGTCCCTGCAAAGAAGAATAACCATGAGGTTTGTCCAAGTGGTGCTTTCAGAGCCCACCTGACAGTCTGTGCTTGGTGCTGGAGGCTGTTGTGCATTGGCACTGCAGGGAATGAATGTCCCCTTCCCAGTTCAGCCCAGCAGATCCCAAAGGCTCTTACAGGAATATTTATCCTTCACTTCCCTGTGTGATAGCTTAATCTCCACCTGCCATGAGCCATTCCTTGAGTTCTCCTGGAGAAAACCTCACAGCAGAGGAGTCTGCAAAGAGCCCAGAGCTGTGTTTGGAGCAGAGAGAGCTGAGAGCTGTGTCTGCCTGTGCTGCCCCAGCCTGGCAACATCCCCATGGAACAGCCTGGGCAGATGGGATTAGATGGAGCAAAATCCCTTCATGCAAGAGGTTTTCTCCTGTGCAGATCAGGCACGGGGCAGGCAGTGAACTTTGGAAATCAGCTGATTTCCCCAGAAAGCATCACTCCCAGCAGCATCAATGACAGGACCTGTGCCCACTGCTCAGGAGTCACCCAGCCAAAATCAAGGGCAAAGCTTGGTTTGGGTCTGAGAACTTGAAATAACTTGGAAAGAGAAGAAATGACCTTTTCTTCTTCCTTCCTTTCAGATGCTGGAATTGCCTCTGTGGATGTGCACTGAGCCCTCGCTGCAGGGAACTGCCAGGCCTCAATGGTGGTGAGCTCATGTTCTTCTCACTGGGGAATTGGAAATAATTATTAATAAGTAATTGCAGAAATGTTTTCTGAAACCTTTCCCCTTTGCTGGTAGATCTTCTCTTTCTGGCTTTGAATTTACAGAATTCCCTGCTGTCCTTTGCCCTGCCTGAATTCCTTGCAGCTCCTAACAGGGAAAACCTGGGATAACTCAGAGGGGACAGAGGTGACATTTTTAGCTGAAAACCTGGGGCAGTTGAGAGGGGACACAAGCACTGTTTGTGTAGGAAAATGTGAGGGGATGTCAAGGGGAGCCAGGTGGCATTTTGAGGGAAAAGCTGAGGTGATGTTCAGGGGAGAGAATGCAAATTTCAGAATAGAAAAGAGCTAATCAATATTGTACAGGAAGGAAAATTTGGGGGGTAAAACTCGATGTAATCTGTAGGGGACAGAGTGAAGATATTGGAGTAAAAATGAGGTACTCAGTAGCAGACAAGGAAAATTTTGGAGGCAGAGCTTGACAAAATCTCAAGAGTAGGGAATGAACATATTGAGGGAAAAATGAGGTGATGAGTACTGAGCATACAGTTGGGAAAACTCGGGGATAAATCTGAGATAATTTCTAGGGGAGTGCATGAACATACTGAGGTAACATGAGGGAATTGGTTGTGGGCAGATGGGGAAATTTCTGGGTAAAAATTATATGGAATAATCTGTAAAGTGAACATTTTGAAGTAAAAACTAGGTACACATGGAAAATTTTGGGGGTAAATCTTGACAAAAGCTACATGATAGGAAGTAGTAAATAATGTTGAAGGAAAAATGAGGGAATCAGTAGTGGACAGGTAGGGGAATTTTGGGGGGAAAAACTTGAAATTATCTAAAGGTTGAAAATTAATCTTTTCAGGCAAAAATTAGGTAATAAGTTATGGACAGGTAAGGAAAATTTTGGGAGTAAAACCTGAGTAAATCTCAAGGGAGAGAGTGAACACTGACATAAACTGAGGCAGTCATGGGGGGTAGGCAAGGAAATTTTGGGGGTAAAACTTGGGAAGATCTGTAGGGCAGAGAATGAACATCTTGAGGCAGAAATGATCAGAAGTCAACATTAGGTAGAATTTGGGGGGCAAACCCTGAGGTAATTATGTAGGAACAGTAAGTGGTTTTGGGAAAAAATCTGACATAATTTGCAGGGCACAGAATGAACATTTTGGGGATAAGAGATATAACCTGTGTGGTTTTGGTTTTAAAATCTAGTTGGTAAATAGGGGACAAAATGGACATTTTGTAATAAAATCTGAGTTAATCTGTAGAGGAAACAATGGATATTTTGAGGTGAAAAGGAGGTAATCAGTACTGGGCAGGTAGGGAAAATTGAGGGCTAAAATGTGAGATTATCTCTAGGAGAGAGCAGGAACATCCTGAGGTAAACTGAGGGAATTGCTGTGGACAGGTGGGTAAATCTGGGGATAAAACTTGAGGGAATCTCCATGGTAGAAAATTAATATTTTAAGGTAAAAATGAGGTACTCAGTGGTGGAGAGGTAGGGAAAATTTTGGGGTAAAATCTGAGGTGATCTGTAGCAGAGAGGATGCACTTGATGGGGTAAACTGAGGTAACCGGTTATGGACAGGTAGGGAAATTATTGGGAGGGAAAACTGAAAGCAGCTGTAGGGTAAAGAATGAAAATATTGAGGTGGAAATGAGGAAATAGGGAGTGGACAGGTAGGGAAAAGAATGGGAATAAAGCTTGTGGTAATCCCCAAATTAGAGAAGGAATGCTTTCTTGTAAAGAGTGAGGAAATCAGAAGGGGACAGACAGGGAAAACTTGGGGGAGAAATCTCAGGTAATCTCAAGGTGAGGGAAGGACTGTTTTGAGGGAACCTCTGGACTCCCTGGGTCCTCCTCCTTGCCTGGCAGCAGCTGGTAGGGAAGGGAGAAGAGGCCTCAGGCTGGAGGGGGGCAGGAGAAAGGCCCTGTGGGCAGAGGAAGCCCCTGGTGTCACCAGGGCACCCATGGGGAACAGAATGGACACTCTGGGAGCACATGGAGGTGATTGGATTGTCCCTTGGGGGGATGCTGGCATTTAGATTATTCCATCCATTTGGCTGCTGAAGTTTCCCAGCTCAGGGGCTTTGGCTGGCAGGGCAGCACAAAGATTGTTCCCTGTGTGGTGCCCAGATTTGGGGTTCATCTTTGCTGTTTAGATGAATTAGAGCTATAGCCCTGAATTCTCTGCTGGAATAACCTCCCAGTGCCTCATGCAGCATGGATATCCATGGGTATCCTCATGCAGCATGGATATTCCCACACAGAGCTGCCTATTTGACACCTGCTGTGCCAGGAACCAGCAGAGGCTCCAAGGAAGCTCAGTGGGATCAGGACAAGGACAGGCTGATATTCCATAGCATTTGCTATCTTTAACCCTTTGCTATTTATTCATCCCCCAGCCCCACCCCTGTTCCCGGGGGCACTTGCAGAGTTCCCTGGAATTCCGTGGGCTCCACCCCTGGGCTCGGCTCCAGCTGATGCTCTCAGCAGCGAGGGCGGGGCCGGACGCGCTCCCGGCCCTGCTGGGGCAGCCCCTGTGCCCAGGGGAGGGCATCTCTCCCTGCAGGAGCGGAGCTCATTCCAGAGCCTCGGCAGCGGCCTCCGGGAACTCTTTTCCCTGAGGAAAGGGATGCACATCCCTGCCTGCAGGGCACCTGCACTGTGACCCACCTGTGCCAGCTTCCCAGCACTTCTGCAGTGCCAGCTGGCTCCCGAAAAACTCCAAACTTCATCCAAACAAAACTTCATCTAACTCTACCCTTTTGTTTTAAGGCATCTCGGAGGGCCTTGCTTGGGATTGGATTTCTGCGAGGGGAATTCCCTTGGCTTTAAGGCTGCTGCTGGAGGATGTCCCCAGGCTGGAAGGGAAGGCACTGGAGTGGCCGGGACACACCCGGTGGCTGTGTGGGAGCTCCAGGAGGTGGCACCGGGAATTGCTGTCTGAGCTCCTCTGCAAAGCCAGCGTGCAGCACTCCCAGGCAATGGCAGCTGTTCCTTGGGCTGGTTTTGGGATGTCAGGGGGCTCTGTCCGGGCTGCAGCCTCTCCGGGGGCCCGTTCAGAGCAGCCCCTGGCCCAGGAGCCGCGGGCAGCCCTTGATCCGTGCCCATCCCAGCGCTGCCCGGGCATCCCAGCGCCCGCCCCGGGTGTGCCTGGCACGCTGCCTGCACGGGCAGGACACTGAGGCACAGCTCCTGCCCTGCAGGCACCGAGGGCAGGAGGGGCTGGTTCCCCCTGGGCTCGGCCTCCTCCCGCCCCGCGTTCCCGGCCAGCCGGGACACACGGAGGGAGCAGCGAGGAACATTCCTGGCAGGGAGCAGGAGTCCCCGAGGGCTCCGTGCAGCTCCGGGCCGGAGAAGCAGCGCCGGGCTCAGCCCCTGCCGTGAGTTTGGGCTGTGAGCACTCACCTGCAGGAAAGGCCCCTCTGCAGGCGGGACCGGCCCTGACACTCTCCAGAAGAGCTTCGGCCTTGGAGCAAGGGAGCCCTCAGGACTTGCTCGTTTCTCCCTGGAAAGGGACAAGGCATCAACACCTTTACAGCTATTTAGGAAATGCTGGAAAAGGCAGGAAATCAGGATTACGGGAAGAGTTTTGTGCTGTCACACAACTGTTCACCTGTGTTGTTCCATGGTCAGGTGCTGCCTATGGAGCTCTGCCCTACAGACGTTCCAGGGGCTGGTGTGTAAAGCAGCATTAGCAAAGGAATTGCTCTGCTGGCATTTGGCATTCCTGTCACAGGCAGGGCATTGCCATTACCTGAGATTGCTTGGTTGGAGCAGGGTGCTGAAAATGCCCAGGTTGTGGGTTCAATCCCCAGCTAAGCCCTTCACATAAGGGTTCAGCCTGGTGCTCCTGGTGTGTCCCTTCCCACTCAGGATATCTGATGACCTGGAAATAAAGAATAAACAATTTTCACTGGCTTTTTGAACCCAGAGGTTTTTTGCATTAGAGAGTACAACCCATAGGGAAAGCGGGGGAAAGGAGGGAGAGCATCAAGTCTCACCTGGCAGGTGTCAGGTGAGCGGCCCGAGCAGAACCGAGCCCGGGCAGGGCCCCGTGCCCGCACTCGGCACAGTCGGAGCAGGAGCAGCAGCGCCGGGCTCGGCCCCAGTGCCCGGCCCGGAGCGGCTCCTCCGGCCCGCGGCGATGCAGCCCCGCTCGTACCGCGGGGATGCGGGCACGGGGTCCGGGTCCCGCTCTGCGCGCGGTGGCCTTGGGGGTACCGGGGCTGAGGGGGCTCCGCATCCCCGCGGGGGCCGGGCCGGGAGCGCGCCCCGGGGGCCGCCGCGCTCGCAGCCCCGCTCCGTGTCCGCCAGGGGGCGCCCCGCGGGGCAGCGGCGCTGAGGCAGCGGCGGGGCCTGAGGGCTCCCGGGGCCGGCACGGGCGGTCCCCGCGCCCCGGCCGCTTCCAGCCGCGATCCAGCGCCTGCTCCGGGAATGCGCCGCTCTCCTGCCGGGCCCGGCACCGGCACAGCCCCGGCTCCCCACGGCAGCAGCGGGACTTGCCCGGAGCCGTAGCGGGAGCAGCCCTGGTCCAAGCGGGAGCGGCAGCGCCGGGCTCGGTCCGTGCCCATCCCGGAGCGGCTCTTTCTGCCCGCGGCGATCCCGATCCCAGCCCCAATCCCGCTTCGGTTCTGCGGCCCCGCGAGGGAGAAGCGGCTCAGCCCGGGACCCCCAGCAGACACCGGCAGGACCCGGACCCGAATCCCCAGGCCCGGGTCCTGTTCCCGGCCCCACCTCAGCGCCTCGAGCCCGGAGCAGCGGCGGGAGCAGCCCCCGGTCCGGGGCTCCGCACAGCGCTCCAGCGACGGCCCTGCCGCATCCCGGGATGAGCATCCATCACACAAAGCGGAGCGGGTGCGGATCCGCCGGGATTTACGGGCGCGGGCGGGGCGGGGCGGAGCCGGCTCAGGTGTGAGGGGCGGGGCCGGCTCAGGTGTGAGGGGCGGGGCCGGCTCAGGTGTGAGGGGCGGGGCCGGCTCAGGTGCGCGGGGCCCCAGCGCGGCTGCGCGGGGCGGGGCCGAGAGGATTTAACCCCCGGGAATCGGCGCTGGCGCCATTTGCCCCCTCGGCGCTCGGAGGGGAAGGTTCTGTCCGCGCGGGCTCCCTATCTTTTTATTTGTTTCTTTTCTTTTACGCTTTTTTTAACCTCTTTTTCTCAATACCTTCCCTCTCTCCCTCCCTTCCTCCCCTCCCCCACCCCCTACACCCTCCCCCCCCCTACCCCCCCCCCTCCCTCTCCCCCCTAGCCCTCCCCTCCCTCCCCCCCAAACCGCTCCCTCCCGGGCCGGTCCCCACTACCCTTCCTATGCCCCCACACACCCCAGCCCTACCCTACCTTTACTTCCTCCACGCTTCCTTCCCTTCCCAGCCCAGCTCCCACCTGCCCCCTCATCCTCCTTCCCCCCAATTCCACCTCCCTCTCCTTCCTTCACCCTTCCTCCTCCTCCATCTCCCCCTGTTTTCCTTCTTCACCTTGACCCCTCCCCACCTGTGCTCCATTCTCGTCCTCCATCCTCCACCCGCTCTACCCCCGCCACCCCACCTGCCCCTGCCCCCGTCCCTGCTCCCCTGCACATCCCGACCCCCCCACCTGCCCTCCATCCTTGACCCACCCCGACCACCCCCTCTGTCCCCCTGTTCCCATCCTCTGTCCCCCTGTTCCCCTCCTCTGTCCCCCCTGCCTCTTTCCCCCGCAGCCGCGGGGCTCGGGGCGCCGCAGAATAAAGCCCAGAGGGCCGGAGCGGCGCCCCCGCTGTCCCTGGAGCCCCCACACGGGGCCGGAGCCGCTGGGCGGGTCCCCCCATTGCAGTGCAAAGCACGGCCCGACACCGCCGGGGTTCCGGCTGTCCCTACATCACACTGGGGGTCCCCGGGGGTTGGGGGGGTTGGGGGGGGGTCAGGGAGGGCCCCCTCCTCAGGAGGGGGTCCGAGGGGGGAGGGGGGATGGGGGGGGGGGATGGGGGGGGGGGATGGGGGGGGTAGGGCCCCCTCCGGAGGAGGGGGTCCCTGGGAGGGGGGCGGGGCGGGTCCCCTCCGGAGGAGGGGGTCCGGGGGAGGGGGCGGGGCCGGAGGGGGAATTCCCCCTCCGGCCCCGCCCCCTCCTCCGGGCCGTCTCCTCCGGACGGGGCTCGGCCCGGCCCCCTCCCCGGGACCCCCTCCTCCGGACAGGGGCCCCGGGGGGAGGGAGGGGGGGCGGGTGGGGTGGGCAGAATGGGAGGGGCCGTTTATCTGTCCGGTGATGTCTTTGTGTGTTCACGCTGCAGAGTGACGTGACCCCCTCTGCTTCCCCCCCACCCCGCCCGCCCCCCTCCCTCCCCCCGGGGCCCCTGTCCGGAGGAGGGGGTCCCGGGGAGGGGGCCGGGCCGAGCCCCGTCCGGAGGAGACGGCCCGGAGGAGGGGGCGGGGCCGGAGGGGGAATTCCCCCTCCGGCCCCGCCCCCTCCCCCGGACCCCCTCCTCCGGAGGGGACCCGCCCCGCCCCCCTCCCAGGGACCCCCTCCTCCGGAGGGGGCCCTACCCCCCCCATCCCCATCCCCCCTCCCCCCTCGGACCCCCTCCTGAGGAGGGGGCCCTCCCTGACCCCCCCCCAACCCCCCCGCCCCGGGGACCCCCAGTGTGATGTAGGGACAGCCGGAACCCCGGCGGTGTCGGGCCGTGCTTTGCACTGCAATGGGGGGACCCGCCCAGCGGCTCCGGCCCCGTGTGGGGGCTCCAGGGACGGCGGGGGGCGCCGCTCCGGCCCTCTGGGCTTTATTCTGCGGCGCCCCGAGCCCCGCGGCTGCGGGGGAAAGAGGCAGGGGGGACAGAGGATGGGAACAGAGGAGGGGAATAGGGGGACAGAGGAGGGGGACAGAGGACGGGAGTAGTGGGACAGAGGAGGGGAATAGGGAGACAGAGCAGGGGAATAGGGAGGGATGAGGTGGGGAACGGAGAGGGGTTGGGGAGAAGGGGGGGGGAAGGGAAAGGCCGGGTGGGGGGAGAGATGATGGACAGAGGAGGGGTACAGGGGGAAGAGAGGGGGGTCGGGCTGGGGAGAGGGGTGAAAGGAACGGGGGGTCGGGGATGTGCAGGAGAACAGCGAGAGAGGGCAGGGGAGGCTGGGGAGCGGGGAGAGGGCAGGGGGGGCTGGAAGGGAGAGGAGGGATGGGGGGGAGGGAGAAAAAAGCTGGAGGGATAGAAAAGAGGAGAGAAGGGGGGGAAGAAGGAGGAGGATAAGGGCAGAAGAAAGAGGAGAAAGAAAAAGGGAAATCACCGCCGGGAGAGCCCAGCGCGGCAGCAGCCTCACCGTGCTCCGGATGAGCAAATGGCGCCGGCAGAGATTTCCGGGCATTAAATCACCTCGGCCCCGCCCCGCGCAGCCGCGCTGGGGCCTCGCACACCTGAGCCGGACCCGCCCTGCGCACCTGAGCCGGGCCCGGCCCCGCCCGGCCCCGCCCCTGAGCCCTGGGACCGCCCCAGAGCCCCGGGACCGCCCCTGAGCCCCGGCCCCGCCCCGGCCCCGCCCCTGAGCCCCGGCCCCGCCCCTGAGCCCGGCACCGCCCCTGAGCCCCGGGACCGCCCCTGAGCCCCGGGGGCCCGCCCTGCCCGGGATGGCGGCGGCACCGTCGCTGCCGGACCCGCCCCTCTCACCTGGGCCGGGCCGGGGCTGCGAGCGCACCGGGACCGGGGCCGCGGCTCCGGGTCCCGCCGGTGTCTCTGGGGGTCCGGGCGGTGCCGCCTCTCCCCCGCCGGGCGGGCTGCGGGTCCCGGCCCCGCAGCACTGAGGGGGCTTGGGGCCGGCTCCGGCTCCGGCAGGAGCCGCTCCGGGACGGGCGCTGGGGCCGGGCCCGGGCAGCCCCCGGGATGCCGCGCTCAGCCCGACGCGCCGGGCCGGGCTCCGCGCTGAGCCCCGAGCCCCTCCCGGCTGCTGCCCGCGCTGAGCCCCGAACGCGGCCCCGGGGCTCCGCCGCCAGCCCCGCCCGCGGCGCTCGGCCGCTGCTCCGGAGCTCTGCCGCGGCCGGGGGAGCCCGGCTTTGGGCTGTGCCCGAGGCACGGCTCGGAGCCCAGAGACACGGACTGGCCCTGGCCGAAAGAGCCGCCTGGAGCACCAAAATGCGGCGTTTGGCCTTTCACTCAAGCCCCCGAAAATGCAGCACTTAAATCGCTCTTGGTGAAGCCCAAACACTGACCTACCCCGGTTTCAAGACCTCGCAAACACAGGTCATGGTCTTGGCTTCACGCCTCTAAAATGCAGAACTTGGTCTCTCTGAGATCCCAAATGCTGTCTGAGGCACCTTGGTTTCAAGCCCCCCAAACCAGTCCTTAGTGTCTCTTTCTGTACTTGGCCAAATGAGCCCAGTTTTGAGCCCCCAAATCGCAGTGCTGGGTGTCTCTCTGTGAGCCCCAAAACTGCTCCAGTCCGCAGCATTCGGAGCCCCCAGAAACGCCCCGGGCCATGGGCGGACCCAGCTGGGCCCCAGCAGCAGCTCCCTGACCCCCAGTGGGATGGGGAAGAGACCAGAGACAAAAATCCAGCTCAGAACAGTTTAATAATGGAAACCAGTCAAATACAATAATTTAATATTAATGACAACACACAATAACAGTGAGAGCAACAAGAGCAGTGAGAACAATAATGAACAGGAGAGAGAGAAAAGCCCCTCCACACCCTCCTTTAACATTTTAAATCCAAAATGTAATCCAGAGCACCACAAACTCCCAGTGTGGGGGATTTCCATATTCCTGTTATTTTCTCTGTGTCCATCCTGGGGATTTGAGGCACTTGCTGCTCCTCTGGGCAAGGGAAAGGCTCCTGTGCTATTCCCAAAAACAGAACCCCTGGAATTAGTGCCCTGGGAGCCCAGTCTGGTCCTTCCAGTGACTGGGGGTCACCCAGAGGGTCTTTACCAGCATCAAGTGAAAATGACATCCTGGTTCAGTGCATTTCCAGCAGGATTGGGCACTCCTGGCCACGGTGACCAGTCCATGGAAGTGGGACCGGTGACAATCCAGGGGGATTTGAAGTTGGATTCTTGCAGATTTCATTGTGCAGAAGCTCCAATTCTCTTTGGCACCTCTTGTTTAAATGTTTTCCTGCTGGAAGAGGTCAATTAGTCTTTTGAATGGCCAGATTGCCAGAGGCAGTTGGGAAAACCAAGCAGCATTCCCTGCACATCTCCATCACTTCCATGTCCACCTGCAGGGAGTGGCTGAAGGACAGGAGCCAGCCCAGGACAGGCTCAGAGATGAGGCTTCCAGCCCAAACCATTCCAGGATGATTCCACCATCTCTCCCTGCATTAATTTTGTGTTGTTTCCTCTCAAATTTAAATTCCCAAATTTAGGTGATTTATTAAATGAACCATTTCAAAATTACTCAGATATATAAGAGGGAGCATCCAACACACAATAATCATTCTTTCATCCATCAAATCATTATTAAATTGGAAGCTTATTCCCTCATCTCTGTCCTTGTTTAGCTTTCCTGCAAATCCTTATGGTCCCACAGTTTCTCAGAGACATCAGCTGGGATTACTGGAAGGTTTGCTCTGCTGGAGAGCCAAGGGGAATTTACAGCATTTGTTCCTCTCCATCTTTGTCCCCTAATCAGGTTTCCCCCAGAATGGTGTTATGGGAGATGTTTGGAATTACTAGAAATGGATCAGCTTCACAGTTTTCCCCCTCTGTTTTTCAACTATTTCAAAATTATTGGAATTACTCTCAAATATGCCCAGGAAAATTCCTGTGAAAGGGTCAATCAGAGGAAAATCATAATATAGATTCTCTACCGTAAATATATAATTCTCTCTCTATATATAAAATATATAATATACAATATATAATATATCATATATTATCTAATTATCGTAAATATATATTTCTCTATCATAAATAGAGAAAACTGCCTCAGCAGCAGCTGGAATGATCCCATTGCTGCTCTTACCTGGTCTCCAGGTGCTCCTGCCAGAGCTCCCAACGGCCACTGCCATTCCTAAACAGGAGCCATGGAAGACGTTCCTGCTGTCCATGAGGGTGAGGAGGCACTTTGGGATGTTCTTGGCTGTGCAATCAGACAAGAGAGTGTCAATGATCTCGCGCTCCCTTCCAAGCCAAAGCAGCCCCTGATTCCATGGCATGATCAGCACCTCTCCCACTTCCATTCCAGAAACATCCTCCCACTAACCCAGGGCTTTCCTTTTTTTGCACCACATCAGGGATGTGCTGCCGAGTGCCCCGGGCATGGGATGCCTCAGCGTTTCCTGGGACACCTCAGCATTCCCTGTGGTGCCTCAAAATTCCCTGGGACACCTCAGCATTCCCTGTGGTGCCTCAACATTCCCTGGGACACCTCAGCACTCCCAGCATTCCCAGGGATGCCCAGCATTCCCGGGGTGCCCCAGCATTCCCGGGGGTGCCCCAGCATTCCCGGGGTGCCCCAGCATTCCCGGGGGTGCCCAGCATTCCCGGGGATGCCCAGCATTCCCGGGGGTGCCCCACCATTCCCAAGGATGCCCCAGCATTCCCGGGGGTGCCCCAGCATTCCCAAGGATGCCCCAGCATTCCGGGGGTGCCCCAGCATTCCCACGGATGCCCCAGCATTCCCAGGATGCCCCAGCATTCCGGGGGTGCCCCAGCATTCCCAGGATGCCCCAGCATTCCGGGGGTGCCCCAGCATTCCCACGGATGCCCCACCATTCCCAAGGATGCCCCAGCATTCCCGGGGGTGCCGCTCCAGCCGCTCCCGCGCCGTCCCGGGCTGCAGTGCCGGGCGCTCGCCACGGGGCGGCAGCACCGGGCGCTCCCAGCCCGGCCGGTGCCGCTGTCCCGGGGCGGCCGCGCCTCTGGCCCGCCCTGACCCGGCGGGGCCGCGAACACCGCGGGCAAAACCCCCCGATCCCCTTGAATCCACCCTCCAAGGCACAGGATCGCAGCATCTCCTGAGCCAAAAGGGCCCCCGGGGAGCATCGAGTCCAAATCCTGGCCCCGCACAGGACCCCAAGAATTCCCCGCTGTGCCCGGGAGCCTTGTCCAGAGCCCGGCTCCTTCCCCAAGATCCTGAGAACACAGCGGGGCTGGGAGAAGGATGACGGTGGGGGAGTTTTGTTTATATCTCGCTATACGATCGTTCTGTAGCTCCGTTACGTATCGTTATCGGTAACCCTACAATCACTATGTCCCTTGTATCTCGCTATACATCCTTACACGTTGCTTTCACGGCGGCGGCTCCAGTGACCGACGGAAGCCCCGCCTGACCCCCCGCTCCCCTTCCCGCGCTCAGACCAGGTTTCCTCCCCGGCTCCAGTCCTGGATTCCCGCGGCAGTCTCGGCTGTCTCGTTCCATAAAGCAAATTATTCAGAGCAGCACAGAGCCAGCCCGAGCTGGTCCCTCCGCAGAGCACCGACCACCTCTTCCTTACCCCAAACTGTGCGTTCTGTCCCCTGCACATTAACTCAGATTCTACCCCAAAATGTTCATTTTGGCCCCTACAGAATCCGCCCCGCAGCGATGCCGCGGGCCCCGTTCGGCCGAGGCAGCTCCGGTGTCCCCTGCCCGCAGCTCCCGCTGCTGCCGCCTTCCCGCTCCGGGTCCCGGGACGGGACAGCGATCCCTGTGTCGGGACAGCGATCCCCGTGCCGGGACAGCGATCCCCCGTTCCCCGCTCGGGGCTGTCCCCGTTCCCCGCTCGGGGCTGTCCCCGTTCCCCGCTCACCTCCGAGCCCGGCGCCGCCGCCCCCGGTGCCCCGGCCCGGCCGCGCCGCTCCCCGGGCTCCGCCATTGCCGCTCCCGGTTCCGCGCCTGCGCTCCCGGGGCCGCGGCGTTTCCTTCCGGGAGCAGCCCCGGCCTTGGCCCCGGATAGAGAAATATGTTTGTATTTTCAAAGCGTCTAGCTCCGTAACCAGAATTCCTTACAGTCTATATCCTGTCTATAACACAGCAGACACAGGCTTTTATTTCGGAATCAGTTTTTAAATGCATTAAGATTTCTCAGAATATACAAAAATGGGAATATTTGCAGTTTTCAGTATTTTTCACACAAACCCTCCATGAATTTTCAGGCCTTTTGGGGCTGTAACCTCCCTTTTCTGGAGGGATCTCACTCGGGCCCCCTCATCCCTCACTCACCGGGTGCTCCACCACAATGGGCTGTGCCAAGTGACACCATCACACTCCAGACTCCCCCACCCCTTTTTCCTCCCTGCCCATAGAAGGCACAGGGAATGTCCCTGAGGATGGTGCCTCGTCCTGGATTGTCCCAGGGGACACTGCAAAGTGCCTGAGGACAGCAAGTCCCGCTCAGCAACCACCAAACCTCCCGCGGGTTATCTGCACCATTACCATTCTGAATCCAAGTCCAGTAAACAAAAAGTTCCCTATCCCAGTTACATCCAGCACAGCAGCCAGCACACCCTGTCCCTGCTCGTCTCAGAGCTGGACACCTCCAGAAGGATTCTGTGAGGGACAGGGCCAAAATTCCTACTACAATCCCAAAAATGAACAGGCTCTGCCTTCCCATCACCTCTGAGCCAGGAGATGTTATGGCAGCAGGATAAGAAACCAGTTAGACGGGAATTTCTCTCCGTTCTCCTGAGCTGCCTGTGTCTGACGCAGGCACTGTCCTTGAATTGCTTTCCCAGCAGGGCCCAGTATGACCTTCTCCACCAGTTTTCCTGGTACTGAAGTTACATTATCAAGGCTGGAGTTTCCTGGAAAAGTCCGAGCAGTTGGAGAATGTCCAGCCAGCAATGGAGCTCCTCAGGCTTCCAGGACCTTGGGTGGAAGATTGAGGTGGTTCCTTCTGGGACATACTGGGATGAATCCCATACAACATCACAGCCTCATGGATACTGACATGGTCCAAGTGGTCCCCAGTGAACCCAAATGGAAAATCACTGCCCTTCCTCCCCCGCTGGACACACAGATAAGCCAGCAGTGCTTGGCAGAGCCAGGGCAGCTGGGGGAGGGCAGGTGACGGGACAAGGACACTGGGAACAGCTAAAAGCAGAGAGGACGCCCAGAGAGCCGAATTCCCACAGGACTCTTCCACCCTGAGTGGGCCAGCTGGCTCCAGAAGGATGCTTGGTGTGGCTTTGGGCATCGGGGTCCTGCTGGCCCTGCTGGGCTGCACAGCCACCGAGGACTGTGGTGAGTGTCAGCCACCCACGGAGAACCAGGAGAGACCACGGATGGGACACAGGATCCCACTGACCTCCCCTCTTTCCAGTGGCCCCGCAGGATAAGGTCTCCCAGCTGCTCCAGCGCATGGAGGAATCTGTAAATTTCACGGAGCCGGCAAATCCCAGTGTCCTGCTGGCCATGAACCTGGCTGGGGGGGACAGGGACGGTCCCATCCACAAGTGGCTGCTCGAGGAGATCAAGGAGGAAGCAGTGAGGAGAGCCCAGAAAGGTAGGGAGGGAAAGGAGGGAAGGCACCAGCTCCCGGGGGACCAGGTTTCCGCCAGTTCTTGGGGTGCCCAGCTCAGAACAGCCTGGCTGCCCCCTTGTCCCCACAGGCATGACCTCGGGACAGGTGGCTCTGCACGTCCTTGCCCTCCTCTCCTCCTGCCAGGATCCCCAGCGTGTCCATGCCCTGGAGCAGACCCTCGACCTGATCCGTGTCCTGCAGCAGAAAACCGATGAGGAGATGGCCAAACTGGGTTTGTTGGGGCTTGGGGGCCTGGGGCTGTCACTGTCCCCACACCCTGTCATCTTGCCACTCTTTGCTTTCAGAGGCCAAGGGGATTCCCAAAACCACCCTGTACAGCATGGGCCTGGACACCCTGGCCCTGTGCCTGGCTGAGGTGGGCGGTGCTCAAGGGCCATCAGTGGCCCTGGCCAAGCAGGTGCTGAACCCCCAGAGACCCATCTCCGTGGGTAAGGAACTCCTCTGCTCCCACATTCCCACTCCTGCGGGCTATCCCGAGCCTTGGCAGTGACTCCAGGACCCCACAGACACCCAGGCCATGGTGGCACTAGCGCTGGCCTGCGTCTATGACCAAGTGGAGCTCAAAGACGTGCAGGATCTGCTCCAGGAGGCACTTTGGACAGTGAGCAACAGCTTCCTGGATGAGCAGGAGGAGAGGAATGGCATGATCGGGAATATCTACAGCATGGGGCTGGCCCTGCAGGTAGGGGAGGTGCCAGGGGAGTGTGGAATCGCGGCCACCTGGTCCCATTTCCAGATGTGTCATTCCACATCCCACCCGCTCCACAGGCACTGGAGGCCACAAGGAAGTTTTATGCCCCACGGCAGTGGGACTGTGCCCAGGCCTTCTCCAGGGTGTATGCCCACGACTACCAGCAGCCCATGGCCATCGCCCAGGTGCTGCCAGCCCTGGTGGGCAGGTCCTACCTGGATGCGGCTGGCCTGGACTGTGCTGCCACCAAGAGTATGTCCCCAGGCCGACAGCTGCCCCTGCCCCCAGTGCAGGGGACACACGGCATTCCCAGAGGTACGCTGATCCCACCTGGAGTCGCCCAGACCCCGCAGGGATGATGTTCCCAACCTGTGCCCACTGAGGGTGTGCCAGGTGCCCACCCTGCTGCTCTCTCCCTGCACAGCCCCCATCCAGGTGCATTACTGCATCACCAACACGCTCCAGGGAAAACACTTCGACAACTGCACCTTAGTGGAAGTCCCAAGTGGCTCCACTCTGCTCCGGGTGATGGAGGAGGCAGCAAAGAAGGACCCCCAAACCTTTTGGTGAGAGCCAGGGTGGCTTTGGAGGTGGGATTTGCCATTTCCCCACCCAGGCCTGAGCCTCCTCATTCTCCCACAGCTTCCAGACGGAGCAGACGTCCTGGGGTCCCTATGTGACCTCCATCCACGGGCTGGCTGGCAGCACGGAGGACAGGACCTTCTGGCAGTTCCTCAGTGCTGGGAATGCCCTCGAAGAAGGTGGGGGAGGGGGCCAGGGATGGTGCAGGGGAGCCTGAGGTTGGGATCTCCATGTCCCAGCCTCACACATCTCTCTGCTGCAGGGGTTGGCACCTACAAACCACAAGATGGGGAGCACATCGAGGCCGTCTTCAGCACCTACTGATGCCACCAAGACACCCTGGCCCCCTCCATGGAACAATAAAGTGACATTCCAGCATGTCCCTCTGTGTGTGTGTGTGTCTCTGGGAGATAACACAGCTCACATCCCTTCTGCCTTCCTTCCTGCTTAATTCCACGAGCTCAGCTCCACTCCTTCTCTTCCCCAGCACCACGCACAAGCACAGCCTCACCCAAACTCCATGGAGTCAATTCCCTCTTGGACATCCACAAAGCCTTTCCCCAGCAGCCACGGGCTTGTTGCTCCAGGCACATTGCTGTGCTTCAGTTCAACCTATTCTGATGCCCACACAAGCTCTCATGGCATGAACCAGATGCAATTATCTCCATTTGATTATTACAACCCCAGTTAGCACCAGCCTCAGGCCAGCAGTTGCATTTCCCCCCCGGAAATCCGCAGGTGGTGGCCTGGGGTTGCAGCTGATCCTAATCTTAATTCTGTGACTCCATCTCTGGCCAGGAGTCACCAGCACCTCCCAGTTGGGTACCAGCTGCTCTCCAGCCAGCCCCATTCCCTACTCCCACTGGGCCTTGTCCAGCCAGACCTTCAGCCTGGACCTGCTCCCAGCTGGACCCTTCCCACCCAAACCATTCCGTGGTTCCAGACACTGTCTCCAGAAGGAGCTGGGAGGGATGGGAGCCAAACTCCTCCCAACAGCAAAAATCAGCAACCATCACCTTTCACAATCTCCAGTACATGTGGATTTATCCCAGATATCAAACCAGTCACACAGGAGCATCCTGTCTGACTCAACCCATGGTGATTGTGCCACCCTCCAGGTCCTTCCGTGACCACACAGATAGGCTGGCATCATGCGGAAGTGCCACAGGAAGTGAGGGTGGGCAGTGAGCACAGGATGGCACCAGGAGCAGATAAAAGCAGAGGGCACAGCTGGAGAGATGAGTGCCTGCCGGCCTCTGCTGCCCTGAGTGGATCAGCTCTTCTGAGGCCAGAGGATGCCCAGTATGGCTTACAGCATGGCAGTCCTGCTGGCCCTGGCAAGTGCCGCGGTCACGCAGGGCTGCAGCGAGTGTCACTCCTCCTGCAGTGGCACCGCGGACAGACCGGTGACACTGCACAGGGACGAGTGGATGATGCACAGGGCTCCTGGTGACCTGCCCTCAGTGGCAGAGGGGTGCCAGGCTACAGTCACCCACGACCGCCTGGTCCAGAAGCTGCTGCAGCGCATGGAGAAATCCGTCAAGTTTGACAAGCCACCGAATCCCAGCATCCTGCTGGCCATGAACCTGGCTGGAGCCACCCACGGCCATGTCCACAACTGGCTGCTCCAGAAGATCAAGAAGGATGCAGTGGAGAGAGCCCAGACAGGTGGGGAAGGGAGAGGAGAACCCAGAGCAGGGGAGGGGGTGTACCTGATCCCAGCAGACCCCACATCCCATCCCACCACTCTGTCCTCTTGTCCCCACAGACCTGACCTCGGGACAAGTGGCTCTGTACGTCCTCGCCCTCCTCTCCTCCTGCCAGGACCCCCGATGTGTCCATGCCAGGGGGAAGACTATCAACCTGATCCCCATCCTGAAGCAGAAAATGAATGAGGAGATAAGCAAAAACGGTACACAGGGATGAGAGGGAAGGACTGGGGGGACTGGGGGGTGTCACCCTCACTGCACCCCATCAGCTCCCCCCTCTTTGCCTTGCAGTGATCACCTGGTACACAGAGAGCCTGGACATCCTGGCCCTGTGCCTGGTGAAGGAATATGACTACCAAGATGCAGTCAAGGCTGTGGCCGAGGAGTTGCTGAAACATAAGAGCTCCCCCGATGTGGGTAAGGGAATCCTCCAGCCCTGCTGTGCCCCCTCCACTCCC